GGGACCGTCAATTTTTTCTCTCCGGTAAATCGATATATAGGCTCAATCATCGTCAACATCAGTTGAGAAAAAGCATTAAATTATACAGAGATAGATCATTACACTTCATCAGAATTAAGAAAATAACATTCATCAATACAGTATTGTCAAAGGTTTATAAATTGAAGAGTATTAATTTAAATCTTTTGATATTTATAAGGTTCTTTTTTATAATTACAGAGTTCACATTTAACCTTAGTTAATGCTTTTACCTTTTGAGTGGCTCCACCTATTCTGCTTGAAGACATCTTTCAGTATTAATTATAATTTGATATTTGTGGGTATTGGTAAGGTTGAGGAAATTTTAAGAACAATCAGTTTAATTAAGATCCATCATGTTACAATGCATGCAGGTATGATGTCATATTTAAAGCCACTTTTACACTTTCTTTACTGTCAAGGTGTCGTCTGCTATTATTCAACTTACAATTTTAGATTGAGGGGGCAAGGTGTCGTTGGTATCTTCTCCCTCATTGTACTGCATGAAAAAAAAAACCATAAATGTTTGTCAAATTTCAAATGGTTTTTGAATGTGATAATATAGAGGACATGTAATATATTGAATAGATATCCTTAGCTGTATTTGGCAAAACCTTTTAGAATTTTGGGTCCTCAATTCTCTTCAACTTCATACTTAAAATTGCCTTTTTAGCTTTTTTTGATTCAAGCGTAGCTGGTGAGTCTTTTGTAGACAAAACCTGCGTCCTGCTATCTATGATGAATTTACTTAGTACCAATTGAATAATTCACCACAACCAGTATGAACAACATCTCATTTTATTTATTATTTATTTGGTACTTGCATGGGTTTGATATTTCCCACTTATAAATTTAAATCAAAATTGGTAAAAAACAATTGTTCTCCATGGTAACTTCGCATTGGATCCAATGGAATATGGTTCTAGGTATTTTTAAATGAAATAAGTGCAAAAAATAGCTTATACTGGATTACAAATGGTCAATTCCAGTTGACCCTTCAAGTTCATATGTCTTCCAACCTAATGCAAAGTTGCAAACCCCATAGCTTTATCATCTATCAATATGAATTTATAGCAAAGGTGAAAATATAAAACGTCTAATTTACCTTTCACCTTAAACTCAATTTCAAGATCATTTAAAAGACCCCATTTGTAAAGATTTTTTGGTCTTTTCTATGTATGGTAAATGAAATATCACTGTACATCTTATTTTAGACTTTCCATCGGGGAATCTCCTATTAAAATGACACTGTAACCTCTCAAGTTTCAACCAAATTCTTTTCTGTTACGACATGTCCCAACTTAAAAATGAGTAAAAATCATTTTGTGGATATTTGAATAATTATGGCTTCTGAGGAGTAGCGATCATAAACAGAAAAAGTAAAAAATTAGAACATGACCTAGACCCTTGTTTTCATTTTTTTTTATGGACTAAGGACCTAAAAAATACCCTAGGTCTCTATCACATTTGGTTTACAGGGCTCTACTTCATTTCACTTATGTCATATACATAAAGGGAAATAACTCTAATATGGAGTCTCCAGATCACTTAGGTCTAATTATTTTCAACATCCTGAGAATATATTGAGCAATTTGAATAATAGTTTTTATACGACCGCCAAAAAATTTTTGTGGTCGTATATTGGTATGACGTTGGCGTCGTTGTCGTTGTCGTCGTCGTCGTCGTCGTCGTCCAAAGACACATTAGTTTTCGCACTCTAACTTTAGTTTAAGTGAATGGATCTCTATGAAATTTTACCACAAGGTTCAATACCACAAAAGGAAGGTGGGGATTGATTTTGGGGGTTATGGTACCAACAGTTAAGGAATAAGGGGCCAAAAAGGGGCCAAAAATAAGCATTTTTGTAACTTCCAGACATAACTTGTGTGTAAGTGTATGGATCTCTCTGACATTGTACCACTAGGTTCCATATCCCAAAGGGAATGCTGGGATTGATTTTGGGGGTAATTGCCTCCAAATTTTAGGAATTAGGGGCCAAAAAGGGGCAAAAAACAAGCATTTTTCTAGTTTCATGACAATAACTTGTGTGTAAGTATATGGATCTCTCTGACATTGTATCAAAAGGTACTATATCACGAAGGGAATGCTTGGATTGATTTTGGGGGTAATTGCCTCCAAATTTTAGAAATTAGGGGCCAAAAAGGGGCAAAAAACAAGCATTTTTCTAATTTCATGACAATACATTGTGTGTAAGAGTATGGATCTTTATGAAATTGTACTACAAGGTACTATATCACAAAGGGAAGCTGGAATTGAGTTTGGGGGTAATTGCCCAAAAATTTAGGAATAAGGGGCCAAACAGGGGCCAAAAATAAGCATTTTTCTAGTTTCCAGACAATAACTTGTGTTCAAGTATATGGATCTCTCAGAAATTGTACTGCAAGGTACCATACCACAAAGGGAAGGCTGGGATTGATTTTGGGGGTAATTCCCTCAAAATTTTAGGAATAAGGGGCCATAAAAGGGCAGAAAACAAACATTTTTCTAGTTTCAGGACAATAACTTGTGTGTAAGTGTATGGATCTTTATGAAATTGTACTGCAAGGTTCCATATCACATAGGGAAAGCTGGGTTTGAGTTTGGGGGTAATTGCCCTAAACGTTTAGGAATTTGGGGCCAAAAAGGGGCCAAAAAACAAGCATTTTTCTAGTTTCCAGACAATAACTTGTGTTCAAGTGTATGGATCTCTCTGAAATTGTACTGCAAGGTACCATGCCACAAAGGGAAGGCTGGGATTGAGTTTGGGGGTGATGAATCATAAGGGGGTTCAAAAAATTTGGGGGGGATTTTTTTTTCCCTTTTTTTTCTTTAAAATTTTCCATTTTGAATTGGTTATTTCTGATTTATATATAAAAGCAAATAATAATGATATGGTTTGAATAGGTAAATTAATTTTTTTTTAAGTTCTTAGACCACTTTCATTCTGTGTCAGAAACCTATGCTGTGTCAAATATTTAATTACAATCCAAATTCAGTGCTGTATCAAGCTTGAATGTTGTGTCCATACTTGCCCCAACTGTTCAGGGTTCGACCTCTGCGGTCGTATCAAGCTGCGCCCCAGCGGAGCATTTTATTCAGTATCCTTTGCAGTTGCAAAGAATTAGTGCTTGCAAGAAAAAAGTGTTTGGGGAGATAACTGGTACGAGGACAAATGGTTGGGCAAATGATGTCAGTTGAAGAAGTGTATGAACTGTTGGATATCATATACCAAATATCTAAGTGACATCTTGCAAAACAACAGATAAATGAAAAGACCTAATTATGTGTTTTTGTAATTTTTAACTCACCTGGCCCTAAATGTTAGTTATTGCCATCACTTGGATAACCCATCATCTGTTAACTTATCACAATTTATCATTCACCTCTGAGACCACCTATCCAATTTTAACTGAAATTTGCACACAGATACAATCTTTGATTCTGACAGGCCAATTTTCTTAAAACAAAAATCCATCCAAGTTTAATATCATCACTTAAGATGAGTATTTCCAATGATTAAATAAGATCTCTCAAAAACTTGAAATTGATCTAAATGTCAAATACTCAGCTCTCAATAGCTTTTAAACTTCTGGAACAATTGAATTTAAAGGATTGTACATGATGTTAATGCATGTCTGATGATTTAATCACAAATTCTAGAAGTTCTTACCAAGAGATTTATCTACCTTTAACATTGATTTTTTTTTGTTTCCATGAAGGACAGGAAAGAAAGATTATAGGGATATTTTAGTATATTTTCATATCATTCATATAAAAAAAAAACTATCAAAATTACCAGGCTTATAACTTTGTATGCCAGAAGCGTGTTATGTCCAATCATCAATGAAGCTTGAATAAAAAAGTTAAAAGGCCAAATTAAGTATGAAGTTTAAAGAGCATTGAGGGAAAAAGTGAAGGTCTATCCTCTGATGTTCATGGCTCTTTTTTTCCAGAAAGACTTTTACATTTTACAAGCATTCTAAATGCTCAGCTGGAAAGTTCATCCTTATGTTTAATATCTTGGAATATAAAACAGAAAGTACTGTTTCACGGAGCCCTAAAAACCACTTTTAATTACAACCTTATATTGTTTTCTACTACTGGACAGATTTTTTATTGAGCCGCATGCTTTCTTTTGCCACAACAACAGTTAGAACAAAAGTCTTGTCATTTATGTACAAAAGAAAACCTTACCAATGGAACATATTTCAAAATGTTGTTCCATGCGATCTTTAATCATATGACAACTTTTCAATGGTGAAATTATACTGCTTGTAACAAATATGAACTGCATGTATTTCTGTTAGTCTACTATGTGGTGTCTAGTAATCAATGAGACAGCAACCCAATGACACAAAAAACCAAATGAAATCTGATGTCAACATACAGTCTTCAACAATAGAGAGGTGTCTTTATTCACCAACAAATAACAAAGAATTTGTGACCCCACACTTGGCAAGTGCATAAGACTCCAATCTTAATTTACTAGGATTGCCAATTTTCCTGCCTAAGGTCTCTGGTTCTCTTCAGGCACTCTCTGACAAGGCTTTTTCCACCAATAAAATACTGGCTACGATATAACCATTAGTGCTGACAGTAGTTTTAAATACCAACAATCAATCTATTAAATTCAAACACAATCTTATACAGATTTTCAGGAACTGTTTCCTGAAAAAAATCAATATGAATAAAGGGATGTTTTGTGTATACTTCAATGAGACAGCAACCCAATAGCACAAAAAAACACACAATTGACATCAAGAGATCAAGATTCAGTCTTCATCAATATACAGTATACCATATGTCAAGCTCTAAATCAATAGAGTGTGGTCAAGTTGTGAGTAGATTTTGACAGAGGCTACCAAAGATCTGCATTCAACACCAAATTCTTACAGGAAATAAATCGAACAACACTTCACTAGTTGATTTATCATGAATGTTTATATTTGCTTAAAAATTGTAATTATTCTTTATATTTTCAGTGAATTTTGACCATTTTCAAATTCTTAGAGCCATTGGAAAAGGAAGTTTTGGAAAGGTAATGTTCATATAAAGTCACGGATTTGTAAAATTTGTTATCTGTTTATTTTTACCCTTAAAACTTTCAAGATTCTGTATTGAAAATCAATATTTCTCTTGCAAAAACAGGTTTAATAAGTGATTCCTTCTAATAGCACATGACACTGTTGAAACCATGAAAAGTGCATTAAGGTAGATACTTTAAGCCATAATGGATTTTGAATAAAAGTCATGCTGCACGATCCTTCTTCTGAAATTGATTAGGAAAATTATGGCGGTATTGTTAAGACATATCTTCAGAAATGTAATCTCTACAGTAATTTTCCATGTATATAATTCTTCATAAACTAGGATGTGATTGAAAAGTCATGTAAGTCGGGGATATGCATTGAGGCAATAAATAACATAAAATAAAATTATCTTTAGACCCTTAATCACTGTAATATCATAGTTAAGTGCCATCTTTAAATTCAAAATATCGCCAAAACTTGATCATTTAATGGTCTTGCTTTTTTGCTGTTTTCAAAGGATAAGTAACATTGTTTTAAATGTAGGTCAGCTGGTAAGCCAGAGGCCTACAGATTTCCAAAAAGCCCTAATAAATAGGCAAGAATTTCTGTAAATTAACTCTTCATGGTTTACTGCAAATCTTAAGGCACTGCATGACTGTCAGATAATAGTCACAGTCAAAGAACTGATTATAGTGCCATGGTTTTGGTGCTGATACTGACCATTCCCCCTCCACCCTAAACATTTGAATTTCATTCAGCGTTATCATTGAGGCTTACAAAACCTTGACTGTGGGAAGAGCATTCCGATCTGTGAACAGTGATAGGTAAAACAGCTTTCTTGTATGTTTTTTTTTTAATTTTAAAACAATAGTGTGACATCCATTTTCAATGAACTAGTACACATTTTTATTTAGGGGCCAGCTGAAGCCCGCCTCCTGGTGCAGGATTTTCTCACTGTGTTGAAGACCCATTGCTGGCCTTGGGCTGTTTTCTGCTCTTTGGTTTGGTTGTTGTCTCTTTGACACATTCCCCATTTCCATTCTCAATTTTATTTTATTGCTTCAGTTTATTGTTCCCCATGTAACATGTTGGGGGTGGACATGGAAATACCGGGCGTCCGTCCGGTCTTGTTAGCGCTCTCACAGGTACAATTCTTGCCAGATTTTTATAAAACTTATACTATAGCTTAATATCAGCAATATCTCGGACAAATTTTATAATGGTGGCCAATAGAATTTTTGATTCAGCCATGCTGGATCTATGCGATCACTCTGGTTTTGGAGATGGTGCAGAATACTAAGTTGAAGACATATCATGAAACTAATTATGTGTTTTTATACGCCCGTTTATGGGACGTATTATGGTATACCTCTGTCCGTCCATCCGTCTATCCGTCCGTCTGTCCGTCCGTCCGTCGTCAACATGTCGGACATTAACTCAAAAACGCTTTAACCAATTTGCATAAAACTTTGGTGAATTGTTTATATCTATTGACGTGAGCTCCCTTTCGTTTTTCATAAATTTTAGATTTTACGTTTCCGAGTTATGGGGTTTTATTCATTAAAAAAAGGGGGATTTTCCAGTTTTCGGACAATAACTCAAGAATGCTTTCACCAACTTGCAAGAAATTGTAGTGAATTGTTTATATCTATTGACATGAGCTCCCTTTCGATTTTTATATATTTTAGATTTTACGTTTCCGAGTTACAGGGTTTTATTCATAAAAAAAAGGGGGATTTTCCAGTTTTGGGACAAAAAATCAAAAATGCTTTCAGCAGTTCTTATGAAACTTTGGTGAATTGTTTATATCTATTGACATGAGCTCCCTTTTTCGATTTTTATATATTTTAGATTTTACGTTTCCGAGTTACAGGGTTTTATTCATAAAAAAAGGGGGATTTTCCAGTTTTCAGACAAAAAATCAAAAATGCTTTCAGCAGTTCTTATGAAACTTTGGTTAATTGTTTATATCTGTTGATGTAAGCTCCCTTTAGAATTTTATAAATTTTACATTTTACATTTCTGAGTTGTGGGGTTTTATTCATTAAAAAAGGGGGGATTTTCCAGTTTTCGGACAATAACTCAAAAATGCTGTCAGCAATTCTCATGAAACTTTGGTGAATTGTTTATATCTATTGATGTAAGCTCCCTTTACATTTTCATAAATTTCTAATATGACATTGAGAATTAATTGAACTTTATTTGTTTATAGTCTGACAACAGATTTACTAAGTATTGCGCAACAGCACAGTGTATTGCACAACAGCAAGAAATCTTTAATTGAATATACATTTTTGTAAATTCAATTCATATAACCAATTTCAAGTTCTTTGACTACATTTATTCAGAAACCTATATTATGTCAAATATTTAATTACAATCCATATTCAGACCTGTATCAAGCTTGAATATTGTGTCCATTTTTGCCCCAACTGTTCAGGGTTGGACCTCTGCGGGCGTATCCAGCTGCGCTCAGCGAAGCAGTTTATTATGACTTGCAGAAACTTTCTACACCATTTTAATCATCAATTGCAAACTTTTGACATGTTATTTGCCCTTAAATTAAGAAAAGATTGGTCGAATAGTGACTTTATTTTAGATATACACTTGCACATAGTTCCTTTCTAAATCAAAATTTATGATGATTTACTTTTTATATATTAATTTAAAAAAGTAATTGTACATCAATTTAATCAGTTGATAAGAATTTTGAAAGTATCATATTAGTATCTTGTGCTTGTGTAAATTATTGTTCAATGAAATGTAGGTCAACATGTGTATTAATATATCTAAGTTTATTCCCACACTTTTTTGAAATGGTATTACTCCAATTCTTTCCATAGGCAAATAAGAGTCAGAATGATTATTAACTGTCATGATTTTCAAATAAGTATTAATTAGAAACAACCCCAGGCTTAATTCAAAACAGTTAATATCTCATGACCTGTTACATAATTAAATAGACACAATTTATTACACACCTAACTGAATACACACATTCTTGGCTTCAATTAAGTAAACCTACAAATGTATTATTTATTTTGATCTACACTACATTAAAAATTCTGTTAATTTTGCTAGCTACAAGCTAGCTGAATGATTAATCTGATGTGTTGTTTTTTTTTCAAAGAAAATACTTAAAATGAAAAAAAATATGTATAAAAAATGCAAGCTTCTTCTTCTCTGGATCTTTACACCCTTTGTAGGGTAACCATACTTTCGTATGTCGAACAGTTCCACCACCAAGCAAATTTTATTTTACTTGTAAAATCAGTGCCATTATCATCTGACATAAGTCAATAATCAAGTTCTAATTAATTAGTTACAATTATCAGAAATTTGGTTGAAATATTAAACAAAATGGCATAACTCTTACCTGAGTTTTTTCTGCAATAAAATTTATTTGTTTGTTTTACATTTATATCCCATTATATCGCTATTTAACAGTAATTGGAAATATCTCAGCATTAGGTATTTGTACATTCAGATTTGAATACAGGAAATGTATTTTTTCTTAATGAAGAATGAACACCAATTTAGATAAAGAATAGTTATTATTTTTTTAAATTTTTGTTGTTGAGAAAGGGCATTTATATGGTCTCTTTCTGGAAATTATTAAACCTGTCATTACTTGTTTGACGATTTTTCTTTCCATTCTTGTCAAAAATAAAATCTGACAGAGTCTTAAATTGAAAGATCAGTATATATATCTATATTTGCATCAATGGTGTCGTTAGCGCTCTCACGGGTACAATTTTAACCAGATTTTATAAAACTTATACTATTGGTTAATATCAGCAATATCTTGGACAAGTTCTATAATGGTGGCCGATCAACTTTTTTGAAAAGAGTTATGCCCCTTGGAAATATTTAATTTATAGAAAATGGCCTCGTTAGCGCTACAAAAAAAAGTGTTTTATTTAGTAATTGCCCTTGTACCTTGGATAGATAAAATATGTGCAATGCGGGGGACATTGAAACTCTGTTCTTATATTTTACTTTAGATTTAATTCAATTCAAATGTGTAATCTGTCCGAGCAATTCTTGTTTCAACATCTGACATGTGCCTTATATTTTAGATAGGCTCACCATAAAGTTTAAAATGTTTAATGATTTGGTTTGTTATTATTTGTAATTTGGGGAATAAAGACCATACAGCTAAAATTCATGATGTGCTTTCGGTACAAAAATTTCACAAATATAAAGATACCAAAATTAAAAAAAATATACTAGAATCTGACAATTTTCTTTTTTATGCAAAGTTAGATAGGAGGCTAATTTGACTCACTTGATGAATTTACCATTGTTCTGGATAAGCTTAACATCAATTGCATACATTGATAAGTTATCACATAACATAAGAACCCAATAAGCCTACTCTCATTGGCAATCATACTGCATCTCCTCAATTTTGTCTGTTGAAAAAGCGAGACTTAGGCATGCTGTTTCTGGTGGCAGTGGTGTCAACAATGTTTTAGTTAGTGATAAGCACTGTAGCTGAACCTTCAGTCATGGTTCATTGACTTTGAATGATTTTCATAGTTTACAAGTTTAAATGTTGCTATTTTAGTTTCAACATTTGCATTATACTGGTACTATCAAAATTACAAAACGCAAGACATCTCTCTGAGTCATCAGTTTTTTATACTACTTGGCTGTTTTAGAAATCCCCATTTGAGCATATTATGCAATGATACCTTTTAGCTGCTGCATTTAATTTCCTAAACACTTTAATTCTTAAATGAATTTCTCATGCACGACAATATCCCCTTTTGAAGTTAATTGTGCAATAAAGTCTCCCTTATGCTCAGAATCAATTGTTCTGATGCAGTGATTAACTTTAAGGGCCATAAAATGCCAAGCTAAAAAGTGTATGCAAGTTTTATTGAGCGAAAATTGTACAAATTGTATAAATTGACATATTTAATATCTTTGAAATTGACAGTTCAAACAGTATGTAAGAATGAAACGTTATCAATAATTTATTTTAATTGAATTTTTATGAACAAATTCATTTGATTATTACTTCTATTTTGCAATTAATACAAACAGCATGCCTGTTTTATGGATCAGAAGTTGTTATTTGGACACAAATTTTCAATTTTCAGTTAGAAATAAAATTATTTAATTGCATCTGAGCCAGTAAGTGGATATTGGTTTCAAATTGTTCTCCGCAAGAGGCAAGAACATAAGGTGCGTTTGACTCCGATCTTAATGTTATTGGATTGTCAGTTTTCCTGCCTAAGGTCGTTGGTTCTCTCCAGACACCCCAGCTTCCAATACAAACTGGCCACCCTGACATTGCCAAGAGTGCTGAAGGGAGTTTTTTAATCAATCAATCAAACTGCTTAGTTTTGAAAGTTTTAAAACTTTCATTAAAATATTGAGAAATAAGGCATACATTTCAACTAGGTATGAATTAAAGGTGATGTAGGGTATTTGTCAATGATACAGCAACCTAACAACTCAAAACACAATAGTTGTAAAAATGTTTACACTCTTTCTTCAAAAAAAGAAAGGTATCTATATGAAATAAAAAGTTATGAATAAATCTTAACAGAGAATTCAAAAAATCTGCCATCAACACCAGTGGTTAAAAAATATTATGAACAAAGGACAACCGATAATGGGGTCCCTTATTTGGGGCCGGCACATGAACATGTGGCATTGTTAAACAATTTTTGTTTTTATTAGATTTCAACCCTCCCCATCTTTTTACTTCGTTTTATTTTGGAAGAAATATGTAACTGCAAGATGAGTTCACCAAAATGCATAGGCTTAGCTATTCGCTGTCTCTCATTACCCCTTAAGGCTTAGTCTTGGGTGTCCAGCATCTGAACACAGTGACCATGTTATTGGACAATACAAATTGATTTTCAATAAAATGGAATAGAAACTATGATTATCGTTATGTCCCCAGTGTTATGCACAGTGTCAGTAATGTGGCTGTTTTCTGGTCTTTGGTCGGTTTGTTGTCTCTTTGACACATTCCCCTTTCCATTCTCTATTCTAACATTTATTCTTTTTTCAGGTCTGCATTGTTCAGAAAAAAGATACAAAGAAAATGTATGCTATGAAGTATATGAATAAACTAATGTGCATCAAAAAAGATTCTGTCTGGAATGTTTATCGAGAAATAGAAATATTAACTAGTTTGGAACATCCATTTCTCGTCAATTTATGGTTCACGTTTCAAGATGAAGAGGACATGTTTATGGTGGTTGACCTACTTCTTGGAGGTGACTTACGGTACCATATTCAGCAGGAAGTACATTTTGATGAATATCAAGTCAGACTATATGTTTGTGAAATTGCATTGGCGCTGGATTACCTACAACAGAATAATATAATACACAGGTAAATGTTGCTTTGTATAGAATGCACACTGCATAGGTAAGACAAAAATACTGATGTTGCTGACCATAAATAGGTGCTGGATTATGACAACAGAATAATATAATACACAAGTAAATGTTGTCTTTGTATAGGATGCACAGATCAGATAAAAATACTGATGGTGCTGACCATAAATAGGTGCTGGATTATGACAACTGAATAATATAATACACAAGTAAATGTTGTCTTTGTATAGGATGCACAGGTCAGATAAAAATACTGATGGTGCTGACCATAAAAAGGTGCTGGATTATGACAACTGAATAATATACACAAGTAAAGGCTGTGATTGTATAAAATGCAAAGATACAAAAATTTTCAGGGTGCTGACATGAAATATTTTTCAACAGATTTTAGTAAGAACTGTAAAAGTTACCTAAGTATAAAACAAGCACATCATAAATGATTTTGATGTGACAGCTTGAGCATGAGTATGGTAATTCATATTCTGGTAGTGAACACCTTTAGTCAATAGTTTACTTGTTAGACTATCATACAGCCATGTTACTAAGTGATAGGGAAATTACTTTACAGTAAAGAAATATATAGTTCTTTATTCTTACTCTTTTCCAAGAGAAACAATTTTTAAATATTTTTTTTTAATTAGACCATTTCAAATAAAAGATGAGATTATCAGGACTGTCCTAAATTTTTATGCTTATTTTGTAAGCACTTAAAGTATGGGTCTAAAGTTTTTCCTATAACTGTCATTTGATATTGAAGCACAAAAGTTACCAGCATTTTACTATGGCTGAAATGAGTGAGGGTGGCTATAGGGAAATATTTTCTTCATTTCAACTAAAATTATTTTCTAATTCTCTATTATTAGTGCTCAAAAACAAACATAATTATATTTTTGATAAACCATGTTCTTGCAATCTCAGTATTTAGAAATATTGCAGAATTCAGCAGTGTGCTGCTGAATTAGGCAACTAATTAATTTTTCAACTATTAGTATTACTGTAAGTTAAATGATAAATGGTAAATTATAAATTTGTCAAAACTTTTACATATATTTATGTAAAAAATATCTATCATTAAATAAAAATTGCCATCTATATTGTTCCATCTTCACTAGCCAAGGGTTAAGATCCAGTCCCTTCCTCTCCACCCTTGCCGGATTAAGATAGAATTTCATGCAGATCCATGAGGTTATGATTTCCATTGGTCGCAGTTGTAACTGGCTGCTTTTAAGATGATTATGTGTAAATGTAGAAAATGTAAATAAACAATTGCTGCTTGCTGATTGTGCAATATGTCTTTACCCCTAAAACATACGACAACATTTAGTGACAATTTTAAAGTTCTTTATCAATTAATAGAAGTACTTGGGTATGTTTCTTGCGCAAATATTGGAATGTCAACCTATATTTTCGGTTCCAGCTTTATGAAGTTTGTAAATACTAGACGCAACCAGTTTTACACCTCCACACTGAAGAGAGTTCAAGTGCTGCCATTGGTCAAGAGTGATGTAGTAGGAATGGGTGTGACTTTTGTCTACCGGTAGATAGTGCAACATTGTTATCACAAATGTTGGCTTAATCTGCCAAGGGTGGAGAGGAGGGGACTGGATCGTAACCCTTGGCTATCGAAGATGATATTGTTCAATTAGGACTGGAACAATTAAGAAATCTTATTACTTAAGTTACCGTAAATTTTGAGATATTTATGCAATGTTTTTATAATTGTGAAAAAAGCATTATTTTCCAGAAATTGCAGTAAATTGAAAAAAAAATGTTCTGGTGGCCAACAGTGTCAAATAATACCTAGATGCCGACAATAATTTCTGAATTTGAAATTTATAAAAATATTGTTTTTTTACCATTCCAATGATTCAGTTGTTTTCCAAATGTGATCTTCCTATAATTTTTATACGACCGCAAAAAATTTTTGTGGTCATATATTGTTATCACGTCGTAGTCGTCGTTGTCCGAAGACATTTGGTTTCCGTACAATAACTTTAGTTTAAGGGCATACGATACAGTAACAGGGGAGGTAATGACGTTGCTAACGTAAATTGTTATTTTCACGACGTCAAACTGCGACTTATCGGGAAAAGATGCAGTTTTCGACTGTTTGTTATCATTGAAACTGATTTATCTTGAAAACGAGTTCATGGACCCCTCTTTTTTAAAATGACATTTGGTTTGATATTGTATGAAGATTATGTGTACCAATTTTCACGAAAAAGTCAATAATGCAATTTCTTTAAATTTGATAAATGTACAGCAAAATATGACGATTTTTTTCTACATTCATGAACATTTGATAAATATGAGTTATTTGTAAAAATAAAATGCACAAATTTATTGGACATTTATATAAAACAGAATTTACAAATAATTTAACAAAAAACAGCTTGCGTTTATCTTTTAAAATAAAAAAGTTATGAATTTCTGTCGAAAGGAAAAACACGTCCACAAATCCGAATTTTGAGCAAATATCTGAAATTTCGACCTCCATTTACTCAAAAAGTAGCACATGAAGGTATAATTTTTATTATATATTTGATTAAATCAGGTAAAAATAGCCAATATGCAAATTTTCATTAAAATTTCATTATGGGATCAAAACTGTATCGTATGCCCTTAAGGTTATGGATCTCTATGAAATTTAATCAAAAGGTTAAATACCACAAAAAAGGTTGGGACTGTTTTTGGGAGTGATGGTCCCAACCGTTTAGGAATTAGGGGCCATAAGCAAGCATTTTTCTAGTTTCAGGACAATAACTTGTGTATAATTTTTTTTTTGGGGGGGGGGCAATTTTTTTCCCCTCAAGATATAAGAAATTGTCAATTTTCCAAAGAAAAATTGGGGGTCACAATTTATTTTGCTAATTCTGTGTATATAGTCTGAAAACAGATTTACTAAGTATTGTGCAACAGCACAGTGTATTGCACAAACGCAAGAAATCTTCAATTGAATATAAGTTCAAATCATAACCAATTTCAAGTTCTTTGACTACATTTATTCTGTGTCAGAAACCTATAATGTGTCAAATATTTAATTACAATCCAAATTCAGACCTGTATCAAGCTTGAATATTGTGTCCATATTTGCCCAATCTGTTCAGGGTTGGACCTCTGCGGTAGTATCCAGCTGCGCTTGTCGAAGCAGTTTATTTATGCATAGTATTGTTCCAGAGATGGATAAAATTCATACATATACCGGTACATCAATTATCTTTATGGAAATTTCATCAGCATAGGACACTCTCTTGTATGACATCATTTTCATAACACTTTACAGGAAATTAGTCGTCATTTTCATTTGAATATATAGTATTTGCATAACATCTTTTGTTACCAGACAGAAAATATTGTCTGTGTTTAACACCTTCCGACGGGAAATTTAGTTCAGGACATTAAAGGCTGTTTTTCACTGTAACCACAATATCTTTTCTGGAGTTGTGCCCTTAATTTGTCTCAGCCCTTTAAAATAAGTTACTTTAATGATGATCTTAGTTTGCTAAAGTCAGTATGTATATATTGAAATATTGTAATATTACTAAACATTATGATTTTGCAGTTCAAATAAGGTGTTGAAAGTATAGCATTTAAACAAATAATTGCAATTTCAGAAACAAAATGACTTTAGCTTGCTCTATAAACCAAATATACTGTGGATTCAATATTAATCAAGCATCCAAGAAAAAAGAATTTTTCCTTAATCCACTATAGTTCTCTCCCTTAGTAAGGTTATAATACAAGAAGCTGGCCCTAAATAGCTGTTTGACCTCAAGTAACCAAGATCACCCAAAAGGAAATAGCTGTATGGCCTCAAGTTACCAAGGTCACCCAACATGTAGTTGCTGTTTGACCTCAAGTGACCAAGGTCACCCAAAAGGTAGTAGCTGTTTGGCCTCAAGTTACCAAGGTCACCCAAGGAAATAGCTGTTTGGCCTCAAGTAACCAAGGTCACCCAAAATGTAGTAGCTGTTTGACCCCAAGTTACCAAGGTCACCCAAAAGGTAGTAGCTGTTTGGCCTCAAATTACCAAGGTCACCCAAAAGGGAGTAGCTGTTTGGCCTCAAGTTACCAAGGTCTACCAAGAGGAAATAGCTGTTTGGCCTCAAGTTACCAAGGTCACCCAAAAGGAAGTATATGTTTGGCTTCAAGCTACCAAGGTCACCCAAAAGGTAGTTGCTGTTTGGCCTCAAGTTACCAAGGTCACCCAAAAGGTAGTAGCTGTTTGGCCTCACGTTACCAAGGTCACCCAAGAGGAAATAGCTGTTTGGCCTCAAGTTACCAAGGTCACCCAAAAGGAAGTATATGTTTGGCCTCAAGCTACCGTCACTCAAAAGGTAGTAGCTGTTTGGCCTCATGTTACCAAGGTCACCAAAAGGAAATAGCTGTTTGGCCTCAAGTTACAAGGTCACCCAAAAGGAAGTAGCTGTTTGGCCCCAAGTTACCAAGATCACCCAAATGGAAGTAGCTGTTTGGCCTCAAGTTACCAAGGTCACCCAAAAGGAAGTAGCTGTTTTGGCCTCAAGTTACCAAGATCAACCAAATGGAAGTAGCTGTTTGGCCTCAAGTTACCAAGGTCACCCAAAAGGTAGCAGCTGTTTGGCCTCAAGTTACCAAGTTCACCCAAAGGAAGTAGCTATTTGGCCTCAAGTTACCAAGGTCACCCAAAAGGTAGCAGCTGTTTGGCCTCAAGTTACCAAGGTCACCCAAAAGGAAGTAGCTGTTTGGCCTCAAGTTTGGAAAGTAGGTGGGAAAATCACTGTTATGGGGGAAAATACAAAACCTTTTTATGTAAAAAAAAATAAAAAAATGAAGACATATTGAGCTGATAAAAAAATTCAAATTCATGTAATCAAATGAATATCAGAATAGGGTTAAATAGGGTGAAGAATATCATATTGGATGCTGACAGACCAGTTAGAATTTTCAACCTCTATAGCTTATATAACTTATCTGAACACTTGGGTACCAGATAAATAAGATATTTTTCTATTA